AGAAAAAAAAAAAAAAAAAAAGAAGAAGAAGAAGAAGAAAAAGAGTATAAAAGAACAATAGCAGGAACGCTTCAGAAAAAGATAATGTCTTCCTTTGGTCTAGGTGTATATCATTGGCGGCGACGGTACTCAGAGAGGAGCAGCTTTAATTTATCAGGTGAATAACTCTTCCTATAATTTCAAAATTGTTCCTTAGCAATTCATTTGTTGGATTGAAGTGAAGTTGCCTTTCTTCTTCTAAAGGAAGTTGCAAAACGTGGTCTTCAAGTTGCTGTTGCTGGGATCCCCAAGACGATTGATAATGACATTGCTGTAAGTATTTTTCTGGACTAGTTTTCAGAAACGTCTGAAGAGGAATAAGAAACCTCATCTGTTGTCAATGATTTCAGTATTTAGTGAGAAATTCAACTTTGATGATGTAAACGAGTAATTAGTTTCCCTTTTCATCACATGGGGGAAGTCAAAATCATCTTTACTTTGTAAACCCAACCATGGATATCATTTGTATTTTCAGTTTTGATGAAATCTATTCAAGTTATGCACTGCGGAGTGCGTACCGAGCAAACTTGATTAATCACTTTTTGCTTTACAGTCTTGACAAGTCGAATTATTGTTTTTTGAAGGCTTCCTACTAAGTGATGATAGATACATTTATTTGGCAACAAAACTTCTCATATGGATCATTATGCTCTGTGAGAACTTAGACTCTCAAATTTGTTGTACCTTCGTAATTTACTTGGATAGTGTAATATATTTCTGCTCCTATTTCTCTGAATTTCCAGTCTCTGGTTCTGCCCCCTATCAATTTGTTAAGCTTTTCTTCCCCTGTTTAATACTAGAAGTAAGAATCTTTTGTGATGGTGATTTAGGTGATAGACAAATCTTTTGGATTTGATACTGCGGTTGAAGAAGCACAGAGGGCCATTAACGCTGCTCACGTGGAGGTTGAAAGTGTAGACAACGGAGTTGGAATCGTTAAACTTATGGGGCGCTATAGCGGTATTTGAATCCTAACCTGTACAATAATGATAATATCAGTTATTCCTTATATTCAACACCATTTTTTTTTTCTTCACATTTCTGTGTTTTATACTTTCTTTTGGCAGGTTTTATTGCCACAATTGCAACTTTGGCAAGTAGAGATGTGGTTAGACTTCATACTGTTTATTAACTCAATTTCGGTGAAATTCTGTCTCGCATTCCACTATTGTTTTTCTTGTAGTGCTTCATCTTTGACTTCTATGAAATTCTTTTTTAATCGTAGAAACATTAGACTTCTCAGTGGAGGATTAATTTTACACATTAAAAGAAAGGGTCCAGAATTTAACACCAACATGTGAGCTGCTAATTGTGAAATTTTTAAGATAATGATGATCAACATATTCTTGTTGCTTTACTTTCGGATTTAATAAGATTTTAAATGATGAGAAGTACCTCATCCTAGTAATTGGCACGTGTTTGAGATATTAATCAAATGAAATGAGTCATGGCATGTACTTTTCTAGTTTGATGAATTGTTTCATGTTGTATTTTCATGGTAGTTATATCAAATTCTTAAGTCGTCATCCTGCTTAAATCGTTTAGGAAACCTCATATCTTATTTTTGTTTGAGTCGTAGTGAGTGAAAATGTAAAAAAAAGGTGGATAAAATTGGTGATATGATTAGGACTAAGATAGTTACATTGTTTACAATCCAGAATCACAAATACAGATTCAGGCTATTTTCAATTCGTAGAATCAAATAAGACATAGCAGGATCAGGGATTTGAGACTGGTAAAGAGCTGTTCATCTTTTCTCCTTTAAGAGCAGGAACAAAGCTCTATGGTATTTATGGCTGAGTGATGTCCTCTTATAACTTTTAGGTACTTCTCGCCATGTCAATTTTGAATTAGATTTAAACCCGTTTTTAGTTCAAACGAGAAGTGGTGTAATAAATGAAAAGATTCAGATTATCCCCTGTAATATCTGTATCTAGTTTCTTTGGGTAAGGTAACTGAATCTAGTTTTTAAAAACAGTTCCTCTATGTGATGTAGGCTAGTGATACTTTCCCCTTTGTTTTACTATATTTGTTGGCAGTAGACTCTTTTAGCTTTATTTCTGTGAATCATGGTAACATGTACCATAGAAAGAAAGAAAAAAAGGAGGTGAAAATGACATGGATTGTGCTTCTTTGTTGTTATGTTTGATTTCTTAGCAAATTAATTTCAAAATTTTGTTTAGTAGCTCCATTAATAGCTATGAAATGTGGCAGGATTGTTGCTTGATTCCAGAATCACCATTCTATTTGGAAGGAACAGGAGGGCTCTTTGAATTTATAGAACAGCGGCTTAAAGAGAATGGCCATATGGTTATTGTGTTAGCAGAAGGCGCAGGACAGGATTATATAGCTCAAGACATGCATACAGTAGAGGAGAAAGATGCATCTGGAAATAGATTACTTCAAGATGTTGGTCCGTGGTTATCTCAAAAGATAAAGGTGTGAGATGGATTGATCTTTTCTTTGATTATTTAGTGTTTTTTTCAAGACTTCTTTAAAATGAAACTTTTCTTTTCCTTGGTTAATTAGTCCTACATTGTTGACTCATGATTATGGTTTAAGAAATCTCAAAGACATGCCAGAGAATGATCTCTTATTCATATTTTAATGTTATAATAATCTAAAATATAAACTACTCTAGCACTCCACTGTGAATTTTCAAAAGAGGAAAATATATTTCGAAAATGGTGTGACGCATAATAGAATTGCAAATATTGATATAGTAGCTTTTCTTTTTTGCCTAGCTATTATGTTGCAGTTCTTTTTTATGGGCCAATTTTCTTAGGGATACTTGGTCTCTAGTTTCCTTTTGCTATTATGTTCTTCCTATTGATAAATCACTCTTACAGGATCATTTCACAAAGGTTCAGAAGATGGCAATTAATATGAAATACATAGGTACTCCCAAAACCTTTGTTAATGGTTTTCTTTTTTCCATTTTTTCATAAATAATTTCTCCTTCCATTTGGCTCCGCTTGAGCTCCTTGGAACTTAAGTACAGTACTGTGGGATCTAGGGTCATGTTTCACGGAAATGATAGTTATTTTGGTTTTTACCATAGGAGATTCAGTGAAAATTAGAGCGCATCTCTTATTATGAAATTGGTTCTCTTCGCGGGCCATATGTTAGTCTTAACTGCTAAAGTGAGGTTGCATCTTCCGTTCCACAAAATGATTACCGTAGTCACTAAGATTCTCGATGAAGACTTGTGGATGTTGGCTTGTTTGTTCTATTAGCATTATTGTTTGATACAGAATGGAGGTTTACTTCAAGTTATTGTTTCAAGTTTTACGGATGAGCTATTCTGTTAGACCAAGAACCATAGACGCTTTAGTTTGGTTAGTGTGTTTGTGTCGGACACTTGGACACACTGACATTTGTTGGAAACATATTAGACTCTTGTCAGCCCAATACATGTGTTGGACACTAGTTATGCAAAGTCAATATTAATCCAACATTTGTTAGATACATATTGAACACTTGGCAAGCATAATAGACAGACACGTTACAATAAATTTCGAGAGGAAAATACATCAAACTCATTCTTTTGACTGTATAAATGCATACTCATACAGACTTTGAGTTTCCTTCTAGGATAAAACTGATATATATTTTTTAAAATGTATATTTAATAAATATGTTATTGTCGTGATCGTGTCCTCAATTTAAAAAAAGTGAAATGTCACTATGTCCATGTCATGTCATATCTGTATCCGTGTTACTTGGCGATTAATTAGCTCATTAAGTATTATACTTATTGTGCCAGTTTACTGCTTTATAGCAAGCGTCATAGTCAAATCTTTGTTTCATTGCTATTTGCGCCGTTGTAAATTTATGTAATTTCATTCGTTGTATTAGTTTCTAACCCTACTTCCATTGCAGATCCTACATATATGATTCGAGCTATTCCCAGTAATGCCTCAGATAATGTATATTGCACTCTTCTTGCTCAGAGTGCTGTCCACGGTGCCATGGCTGGATACACTGGCTTTACTGTTGGACCTGTAAATAGCAGACATGCTTATATTCCGATTGCTGTAAGAAATTTCTTTCTTTACACCAAGTTTTCAAGTTCTTGAGTGATATTTCATTTTCAGTTTATCCACTCATAACTTGTCAGTTAAAATTCTCTTAACCTCTCAGTGCTCCTTGGGTTTAGAACTTGTTTCTATTAAGTACCACTTAGTTAAGAATGTAGCTGGAAACATTAGATGTGGGGCATATTTTATATTAGCCGCGACTAAATCCTATATGTATAAATTTTGTTTTTCTTAAATATTTACTTAGCAGAGCATTTTGACTTTAATCATACCAATTAATGAAAGTGCATATTTCTGCTCATAAATTAGAAAATAAGATCCTGTATTTATGTATTGGTTGGTAATGAAATACAAACTAAGCGACTGTTTGAGAGGCTGTCGTTTTCCCATTTACTGGAATACACACCAGAAGCTTAGTGCAATCACTCATCGTACATCTTTTCTCTCTTTTGGTTTACATGTCTAACTCTAACGCATACTGCTGCTGGCATCTTTCCTCGACCAACTATCTATCTATCTTCTTGTTATATTTATGCTTCTGCCATTAAGATACCACCTTATTCCCAGATCCATCAACTATAGATTTTTTCAAGGCATTTCTTACACATTTTGAATATTATTGATTTGTGTTGAGTGTCGTCTGCGTTTTTTCTTCTTATAGACTTCTGATCATGCCAATTCGAATGCAATCATTTATGCTGGGAACACAATGATTTCATTGTAGTTATTATGCTTCCATGGTTTTGTTGCAAGATCGTTACCTCTTATTCTGCTGTATCAATACAATCAGGAAAACAAATATCATGAGACTGAATAATGTGGTTGTGTTGTGTAGCGTGTTACGGAGACACAAAACACGGTGAAGTTAACCGGAAGAATGTGGGCAAGACTTCTTGCGTCTACGAATCAGCCTAGTTTCGTGACATATAATGAGGCTCTGTGCGAAGACGCTGCTAATATCAACAACGCTGAGATTTCTACTCAGCTTTAACGCCCATCAGTTCAATTCAAGTTGGACCAATCTCACTTCCGGATTCTTTCATGTTACCAGTCAGTTTATTGGTCTGGCAATTAGGATTTTTATGAGGTATATCTGCTTTAAATAAGGCCTCCATACTCTTACAGTTATTTCATTAATCATATCTTATGTTGAGTTCTAAAGGAGCAACACTCTAATGTGCGCGGGCATAGGCATAAAAGGGACTCGATGCGATGCCAAAGAAGTGAGATTTTTTTCCCCATTTCTATAGATATGACTTCGTGAAAAAAAATATTCTTCTTTGGCACTCCTCTCTATTGGGTGGAAAATTCTGGTTATCAAAGGCCGGGCTGGTTTCATTTTAGCAGTATTTCCAGAGATTTCAAATTATGTCACAGCGATAGTTATGTTCCTATGCACTTTTATTGCAGTACTCTTTTGATACACAAGCTCAGAGGAGCTTGAAACAATGACAATTTCTTCTTTCATTTCCACTTTCACGCCCGCATCTCAATGAGACAGCAGGTATGTACTAGTTAATCCTTTAAGCTATAGATTTCCTGTGTGTTATTCTCTTCTAGGAAATTATAATTAATGCAAATAAAATGAATTTAAATAAAAAAAAAACCTATCCTTGTGGTTGAATATCTGGTGTCTTGTGTCAATATTCTAAGAAAGATCTTAGAAACCTCGGAAACTTTGTTTTAGTTCAAGTTTCAGCTTAACAACATGACTAAAAAAAACCCTCATACCTCTAGAAGGAAGCCCAACTAATTTTCCACTTCATGGAACTAGATTTCCTTTAATTTAAGAAATGATATTAAAATATGGATAAAAAATATTTGAAGAGGTGAACCAAAATAAATGAGAAAATCAATGAAAATGTAATTGTTCTCATCTAAAAGTACTACGAGAATGGACTTTTGGATAAAGTGGATGCAATGTTTGGGACAACCCAGGAGTATTGACAAAATGTGAAATAATTAAATTTTCCGTACCTGTAGATATTTCTTGAAATACTTGTGGATGCAATGAGAGAATTATTGACAGAGTATTGATTTCATTTCATCCTGGGTTTGGTGCCTATTTCAAAATAGCTCTAGTTTTTTAAACAATTCTAGCCTATTTCATAATATAGTCTACTTAAAATCTAGCCGAGACATGTTTGGATAATTGTTATTTAAAAAATGTTTTCTATTTTCTTTTTTGAATTGGAAGTTTTTTTTTTTCATAGGAATTTCAAATATAAAATTAAATAAGCTGTTAAATTTTCTTTAGACTATTTTTTGAAGTGTCTTTGAATTCAAGGAGCAAGGAGGCGTAGATATTAATTACTGTGTTTTACTTGATCTCCAAATCACCATTTTTGCTTGCCATATTGAATTATTCTTCTTGTAAATAGGCCCTTGGTAGTAAGGTAGGGTAGGCTAATTGCATGCGGAGTACGTCAGTCGATTAGTTTTTTTTTTTTTTCATATATTTTTTTTTCATTATCGATATAAGAAATCAACCATCACAAAATGACTGATTTTCTTCCTTTCTGAAAAAATTGAAATCGAATTGGGCTGATATGGTTTGTTTTAGAATTAGACTAATTTCCAATTAGCTAAACGGTTTTTTTTTTTTTTTCAATTATCATTTAAATTTTAATTAATAATTTCTACCTGCTGTCCTAATTTGATATGATGTAAGATTGATTGAAAAATATTTCTATTCGGGATAAGAATATACTGTGCACTACACTTTTGTTCCTTTATTTTGACAATATTTAAGGTTGTTCAAATATTGTTTATATCTCAAACATTTAGAACATCAAAAATACCTAAATCTAATTAAAAAAGTATCAAACACTTCTAAAACAGAATAAAAATAAAGTGAAATGTATTAAACACAATTAGAATAATGAATAAGCTCTACAATAGTCTACTTGCATCTAAGCGAACAGAACTAGAACAAGTAGTCCCCACAAAATCAAATAAACAATTACTCCTCCAATTGATATTTCAAGGATAGCCTTATTTGCATCCTCTAGCTGTAAACATACCCTGCCGAGTCAAGGATTTGATCAAGTAAATGAGAATGAAATGATTGGATAAAAAGTAACTATAAAAACGTTGTCTCAAAAAAAGAGTAAAATAAAATAAGAACATGTGAAAGTTAAGATTTTCTTTGATAAAAACTCATACTTTTTTTTTTTAATTTTTTAATTTTAATTTTTTATTTTTTATAATGAGCCTGACTACTACAATTTCCTTTATTTCATAACATTTTCTCTTTACTGTTGTCTTTAAAATCCTAGCCAATTTTATTCTTTTAAAAAAAGTAACATTAAAGTAGTTTTAATGTATAAAAAAATTCGATAATTCTGATAGATTAGTGAAAAGTATGTTTTGTTTCTTTTACGAAAGAAAACGCATTTAGTTGGAAAAACTTTAAGAAGATGGTCATCTTTCATAAACTCTTTGGAGCCCATCCACAAGAAGACACATTCTCCCATTTCCCTGTTGAAATGGAACTTCACCTCATTTGATAGGAGCATCACAAATAAATGAGACCAACACAACCAACCCTCATAGAACTCTTCCTCTTCCCAGAGTCAATCTCATATTATTATAACATATCTTTTTCTCCTCAACTTGTCCTCTGGTGTTATCCATATCCATTCATGCACCTTCCTCAGCTTTAGAAGGCTCCACCTCTTCAAGATATGAACAATTCTTTCTCTATTAAAGTTGCTTTCATTCTTTTTTTTTTCACTCTCTCTAGGGTCAGAGCAGCTGCGAGGGGTACAATTCTGGGCCACCAACTTGACCTCCTTTATTATATGTAAGGACAAGCGCAGCCTCTTTTTTGTCTGTTTCTTCATTAAATGATTGCTGGTTGACAGAGAGACATCTTAACTAGTTTTTATTTTTTATTTTATTACTTTTATAACATAAAATATAGTACAGATATTTTGCTTTGAAAGTTATCAGATCTCTGTCGACTAGATTTAGATGTTTCTCATCTCTGCTGTTTCTACTTTTATAAATATCACTTCTAATTCTAACTTAATAATCATAGTTGAACTTTTCAATCAATTAGTCAGAATCTTATTTTAAGTATATTTCAAAGAAAATCAAGTGAAAAGAGGGTCTAAATTGACTGATTTACTAGAGTTTAGTATTTAAATTAATATTATGAATTTTTTGCTGTCATTGAAATATAAATTGATTACTTTTTAATATTTTTCTAATGCAAGTGGATTAGCATCCTTTCTAAAAGGACACTGATAAATGAAATAATTATCTATACTATACTATGTTCGAACTTCAAATTTTTCCAGCTTATTACAATTGTCATTATTAGCTTTCCCATCATAACCCATTGTATTTAAGGGCACTAATTTAATAATGTCTAACTACTCACTTGATAGTCAAGGAGGAGACAAGGTCTAACCAAGTTGGTTCCTTACAACAGGAGAGAATTCTACTATTGCTTGATTTAGACCATTTTGATTGTGTGCTGTTTGAGAATGGTTGTTGAAAATTGGTTCCCCAAATAAATTTTGTTTCCAGATTGTGCTTTTTCTAGTTTGTTTGCAGATTATCTTTTATTAGACAAAGAGAACTAATATTGAAGCGCTTTTGGGGAGTGGACGAAAGGTAAGTAACCGATGTGAATTTTATTTAAATAGAGCTTAAGTATAATATCATGAACATTTAGATATTTCAAATATTATATCTAGAGAGATAATTATGATAATTAAGTAATGTGTCGGCTTAGCTATATGAATAATTATAAGATGAATTATTAAGCTTTATTGTATTGTATCTATAATTTAGACATAAACAAAAGTAGTAGGTGTGGCTAACTAACATAGCCATGTGATCTATAAAACTTTATTAGAGAAGTGGCATGCCTTGATAAAAATATCATTGAAGGAAGGGTTGATATATATATATATATATATTTATTGTGAATTTTTAGGGTTTAGGGTATATTTGGAAAATTTATAATATATTATTAAACAATCAATTTTGTATTTGAGTCTAATTCTTTTATTTTATATTTGATAAATTATTATATTTTTATGTCAAATGACTTTATATATAATATTTATAAGTATATTAGATACAAATTTAAAAGTTTATTATCTTATTAAATACCAACTCTAAATTTTATAAAAATGATAAATATGCCAAAAATCTATTAACTATTTTGATAATTTTAACTTAAAAAAAGCTATATATTACGTAATTATAAAATCAATTAGTATGTGAGATGATTTGCTCTCTTATCAAATGAGCTAAATACTAAATCTAGCATTTAATACTTCTAAAGTCTAGAATTAGAATGAACTTTGTGTAAGTTCTTTTATTTTTCCTTATTTTGGTCATAAATTAGACCATGGAATAAGAGTAAGAACTCTATATCTATATTTACATTAAAATAGCTGGCAAATTAAATATTACACTTAATTAAACTCAATCATAAAGATAGTTGTTTTAACTTGTTTTGATTAATTTCTACTCATCAGCATTCACTTCTCATTCATTGCCATTAATCCCTTCCTCACATTCGTCCATTTCTGCCTCCCCCTCTTCGAGTTCGCCACCGCCGGCGGGTCCGGTTCTCCGGCCTCCAATGGAAAATTCAGAATCGCTTTCCTCCCTCTCAGCCTAAACGCCGCACAATCGTAAGCCTTCGCCGCGTCTACATCACTGTCATAAGTCCCCAACCAAACCCGGCTCCCTTTCCGGTTCGGGTCACGGATCTCCGCTGCAAATTTACCCCATGGCCGCCGCCGCACTCCCCGGAAATGCTTCTTCACCTTCTCGCCGGTGGCCCCTGCCACGGCATCTTCCGCCTTGACATGGCAGACTTGGCCCGACATGTCGGTCTTCGGCAACGACGGGTGGACAACTTCGCTGGACTTCGTCTCGTTGTCGGACCCTTCCGCTGGGACCGGCGGCGGCAGCGGCAGCGGCGGCGTAATTTGAGAATCGAAGAAGAAATCCTCCAATTTGATGGGGTGGAGAAAGGAGGAATCTGTTTCGAAATGGGTTTGATGATCTAAGGAATCTCCCAAAAGAAATTGGGTAATGAATTCTATGTTGAAGAATTCTTCTAAGGATGCCATTTTCAGAGAGAAATTAAGGATTATTAAGGATTTGAAATCAGAAAAGTTTGAGCTTTAAAGAGACATCTGAAGATGAAGAGGAGAAAGCAATATATATATATATATAAACAGTGAAACTTTCCAATTTCAGCTGTATTCTGAAAGCATTAATTCTACTAGTGATAAATGTTGGATTTCTAATCCAATCCACTTGGAACAAAAATTTTGAAAAATAATTTTGGAAAATAAAGCATTTTATCTCCAAATTAAATATGTAACTGATATTTTCTATATGGAGAAAAGAGAGAAAATAAATAAATAAAAGAAAGAAAGAAAGTGATTGATAAGTGATACCCATGATTTATCTCTATCAACACCTCCAACATCATTCATTAATTATCTAGATTATTGATGATTCTATAAAAATTAGGTACCAAAGTTAACCTAATTTAAATGGTTGCTAAAACACTAAATAAAAAAAAGTTGGAGGGGAGAACCAAACATCCCACCTTTTAAAAGAATGTGGAAACCTCTCCCTAGTGCGTTTTAAAGCCTTGGGAGAAGTCCGAAAGGGAAATCCCAAAGAGGACAATATTTGCTAGTGGTGGGCTTGTGTCGTTACAAATGGTATAAGAGCCAGACACCGGGTAATGTGCCAACGAGGAAGCTGTTCTCCGAAGAGGGGTAAACACGAGGTGGTGTGCTAGTAAGGATACTGGCCTCGAAGGGGGTGGATTTGGTGGGGGTCCTACACCGATAGGAGAAAGGAACAAGTGCCATCGAGGGGCACTAAAGGGGGTTGAATTGTGATATCCTATATTGGTTGGGAGGAGAATCAAACCCCCTTTAAAAGAAGTGTGGAAGTCCTCCCTATCAGATATGTTTTAAAGCCTTGAAGGAAAGCCCGAAAGGGAAACTCCAAAGAGAACAATATCGGTAACCTTGGATCATTACATTAAATTACATTTTGGAACCGAAGCCTTGAAGGAAAGCCCGAAAGGGAAAGTCCAAAGAGAACAATATCTGCTAGCGGTGACCTTGGATCATTACATTAAATTACATTTTGGAACCGAACTCACCTTAAGAATTTTCTACTCTCTTAAAAGTCATTATTAAAAGTTATGTATTAGCCATGGATCACGTTAGAAAGATTCGGGAGGGAGAATTTTGTAATTTTGTTGAGTGATTAAGATGGTTGCAAATGATTATTTAAAAGAAGATACATCAATTCAAGCGGAATTGAATTGAGTTTGAATTCAAATCTTTCTATTTTGTTTATATTGTTTGTTGAAAGGAAAAGGGAAAGAAGATGGGAAGGTGGCCGCAGCCACAAATCTAGAAATGTTCTACAAACTTTACCACTTCAGTTCAGGTCCATTGCATTTGGGGCAATACCCAGTCTTAATCATCATTCAACAATTAGACAAACAAACAACAAAGTCCCGATCCAAAAAACGTATGTCGAACGGTGTTTAAATGTCTCTACAATTCGGATTTGTGGATATTTGATATCTAAATTTTACGAAATTTTAGTGATTAATCTGACATACATTCTCTACAAGTAAAAATTTTAAAACCGGCCCAACTCACAACCTAACAATAGAGGGTCAAGTTGGGATCTCTATTGCAATAGCTCAAGCTCATCGGTAACAGCGATGGTCCGTTTTGCCCTGTATCACCATTAGTCTCACGATTTTAAAACGCGTATATTAGGGAGAGACTTCCACACCTCTATAAGAAATGTTTTGTTCCCCCTCCGATCAAAATGGGATCTCATAATCCACTCCCTTTTGGGGTCCAACATCCTTACTCGTACACCTCCCAATGTTTGACTTTGGTACCATACGTAACAAGTCAAAGAGAACAATATCTAAAACCCTTCCCCACAAATTTGCAAGACATAACTAATTTTTTTAATTTTAGATATATATATTTTTTTATCTTTTTGGTCCACTTTAAAATATTTTTGTTTTAATTTATTACTAATTTTGTGTATAAATTTGAGCGTAACTTAGAATTAAGAAATTCCTTAGAACAAATATAATTAAGATGAAAAGATTTGATATATACGATGAATCATATAAATGATCGTCAATTGAATTATCATTTATGAACAGTAAAAACGATACCACTAGAAAAGGAAAAGGATTAGTGGTGAATAGAAACTCCAGTGTCTTATCCTTTTGAGATAATTTGGTGTTGGCCACGAGAGTGATTGTGAAATGCACAAAAACATTGAACATGGAAAGATATCGTAATTATATAATCCAAAAAAAAAAAAAAACGTCATTTGGCCTGTAGTAATACCTTGATCGAACCTGAGTTTAAATTAATAATCGTATCAATTTAAACTCTTTAAATCGTAGATAAGTGATCCGATCAAATTATATATATATATATATATATAAAGCAGCTAAATTATAAAAGTTGAATGAGTGAAAAGGTCAGCATTACCCACCATTTAGGACCATCATAAATAAAGTTGGAGGTTCATACATTTGGTATTTAGTGTACTATGAGAAGCTTCTTATTGGTCGCCATTAACGATCTCTCTAAGAACTTTCTTCCTTTATTCCATTAATATTTGCAATTTCGTTGGAAGGGTTCGATTCCTTTAGTTTCATATCATCATTTATTGATTTAAGACTTTTAATTGGTTTTAATCTCTTATTCAGTTTAATTATTCAAAAACTTTTTCAAGCCATGTTTGACTCTATGCCCGGATAACGATCTAAAAGAAAAAATTCAAAATTAATTTAATATATCTTCATTTTATATTAATATATAAATATAAGAATTGAAAAATAATTGTTTCTAGATTCGACAATATCATAAGCTTGCTATAACACGTGGGTCGAGTTTTAACTAGCCGCGACTTTTCTCCTCTTAGCCGAGCCGTGTTAGACAAAGCATGAGAAGGAACAACCACATCATGTTCCCCTCGGCGCGCCGAGACACTGATCGGCGGCTGATCTCCGGAGACAATGCGGTTAGGGAAGTTAAGAAGAGCCTTAGAGCCGCGCATTCTGAAGGCAGCTCGAAGCCAAAGCCGCATCCTCAGGCGTATCGTAGATGCCGAGCCACACACGTGCACCACTAGTCGCCGGGTCCCGAATCTCCGACGCGTACTTCCCTCATGGGCACCTCCGCTCCCGAACACCCGATAGAGGCGGCGCGTTCGTCGGATAGAGCTCAGTTCTGACGGCGGAGGAAAAGTCCGGCAGGTGGATGGAGTCGAGAGGGGAGAGGCCAAAAACGACGGCGTCTTAATGGCATTTGCTATTTTTTTTTTACTAATATTTCAAGATAATATATTTTTATTAATTTAGCAACAAAAAAAAAACGGAAATTTTAATATTTATTTTTTAAAAAATATTTAAAAATAAGATATACTTTTTAAATAAAAAAAATAGAGAGAAAAAGGGTTTTAAGATAATATCCCAATTTTATTAATAATTAATTATCATCTAATTTGTTAATAGTGTGCATGCTATAACACGTGGGTCGAGTTTTAACTCATTGAATAGCCGACAATAAATATCGTAATAATATATAATAATTTAATAAAATCATTTTTTTTATAAAAAATATCCAAATATTTTATTATATTAAAGGAAATTGTTGATATATTAATAATTATAGATTAAATTCTTTTAAACAAAATATTAAATTAAATTAAATTATTTTTAATAAGTTCTGAAAAGACACGATGAGAGAGAATCTTTTTTTATTTTATTTTTTATAAATAATAATAATAATAATAAAAGTAAAAAAGCTCGTCTCTTAATTTCATCATTTAATTATACTGGTCAACTCTTAATAGTTCTGTCCTTTAACCTAAAATTTAATACGGTAGAGTTGGTTAGGTGGAAGAAGATATGCAATTTAATTCTAAAATAGAGAAAATTTATTAAATGCATAAAATAATTATATATATATATATATAAAATAAAAATTTAATTATCCATTTTTAAAATAATAAACCTATGAACCAAACGACCCGACCCATTACGTACAAAAACCACACTATTAATTAAATTTTCAATATTTTATAAATAACTTAAAGGAAATTTACTAAGATTATTGCAATTAGGTGAATATAAAAAAGTCAACTATTACAAATTTAACATGTTTTGTTGACTTTTTCGTATGCAAATATTAAGTCAACTATAAAGTTTAATTGACTGTAAAATGAAAAAACAATGTGAAATGAGTAAAAGCATATGGTATAATAATCAAATTTCAAGAACAAATCGTGAACCGAAGCAGTTTGATTTCGCGAGGCTTGTCCAAAGAGCCTCTTCTTAAGCGTGTCAGTCTCACAATTTTAAAACACGTCTGTTAGGGAGAGGTTTCCACACATTCATAAAGAATACTTCATTCCCCTCTTCAACGGATATGAGATCTCACAATCCACTCATGGGTCCAACATCCTCATTGACACACCGTCTTATGTCTAGTTCTGATACCATTTGTAATAATCCAAGCCCACCACTAGCAGATATTGTCCATTTTAGCACATTACGTATCGTCATCGGCCTCACGATTTTAAAACACATCTAGAGAAAAGATTCCACGCCCTCTATATATATATATATATATATTATAACATTGTTTCTAAAGAATAATTTATTAAAAAGTGTTTTTAATTTTTCAAAACAAAAATTAAAGAATAATAAATTTGGAAACCCTAAATAATTTCCCATGATATCTTGCACTTATTCTTGTATTAGATTCATTACATTCCTCAATAGGCAGAGTGCAAGAAAAGGCTTCCAAAAAGCTTCTCCTTTTTTCATGGAAAACAAAAAAAAAAAAAAACAACAGAATCATCATGTCTTTGATTACCACTTCCATCTTTGAATCTTCCTTTCTTGTTCGGTTCTGTCACATTGTGCAGACAAAGAACATAAATTCTCTCTTTATAACGCCTCCAAAAAACAACCAAAAATCATCCAACATTCACACATAACCATTATGGTTGACAATATGTCGTACGATGATCCTATCAAACATGAACAACAACCTGGTACGTATCCCAAATACCTACAAATTTCGTACTTTATCCATTTTTTTAAAAAATATCCTTACTGTTAGTTTTGGATGAAACCGTGTATCTACGCTTTATAGAGCATAATGTAACGTATAATGTTTTTGTTAATACAGAAATTACAAGAACAAGAAGGGCTGAGCCACCAGCTAATTATACATTCCAAATTAATTCATACTCAACACTTTCAGAAATAGGGATGAAGAAATGTGAATCTGGAAACTTTGCAGTTGATGGCTTCAACTGGTTTGAAATGCTTAGATTTGAATTTAAACTTGATTAATATCATAAACTATGATTAGGGTTTTAATTAATCTCTCTCTATCTTACATGGGTTGGCTTAGGAAATTGATTTTGTATCCAAATGGAGACGACGAAGTTGAAGATCATATCTCTCTCTACTTGGCTATAACTTCTAAGGATAATCTTCCTCTTGGCTGGGAAGTGAAGGTTATTTTCAGGTTCTTTGTATACGATCGAATCAAAGACAACTATTTAACCGTCCAAGGTATCGATATATCTGTTACAAATCTCCACAATGGTATGATATTGTTCACTTTGAGTATAAGCTCTCGTAGGTTTGCTTTGAACTTTCCTAAAAGGCCTCGTACCAATAGAGATGTATTCTCATTCCCTAAATTAGTCAATGTGGGACTCTCTCCCAAAATTTCCTCCCCTCGAACAAAGTACACTATAGAGCCTCCTATGAGGCCTATGGAGCCCTCAAACAGTCTCCCTTTAATCGAGGCTCGACATTTGAGGATTCTATTGACATAGCTACGTTAAGGATATAGTCATGGGTTTATAAGTAAGGAATACATCTCGTATGAGGCCTTTTGGGAAAGCCCAAAGTAAAACGATGAAAGCTTATGCTCGAAGTGGATAATATCATACTATTGTAGAGAGTCGTGATTCCTATATCTCATTCAATTTTTATTCATTAAACTACTCTAATAGTTATCGAACATGACTTTAGTTAACATGATTGAGACTTAAAAAATGAATATTGATAATGATTTTGCAGATGGGAAAATGAGGAAGTATTCTAAAATGAAAAGTGAACATGGGTTCACCAAATTTCTTGCTCATAATGCTTTCAATCAAGCCTCCAATGGCTTCCTTGTGGATAATGGCTGCACATTTGGAGTTGAAGTTTCTGTACTTAAAGCCTCAAACAAGGGAGAAAGTTTAACCATTTTTAAAGAGCCTCAACTTGGATCCTTTTTTTGGTCCATTTCTTCATTTTCTAACAAAACTAATGAATTCTATCTCTCCGAACCCTTCACCGTCAAAGGAAGAAAATGGTACGTAACGTTCAAAAAAAGAACAAAATCGTTATCAAACGAGACTTACGAAAGACTCATTTTTCGTTTGACTCATTGCTTCAGGCGATTGATGATATACCCGAATGGTCTTTCGTCGGGAAAGATGTCACATATCTCTCTTTACTTGAAGTTGGACAGCTCGGAAACCGTTCCGACCGGGAAGAAAATCTATGCCAAATTCTTTCTAAGTGTTTATGACTTTGGAGCTAAAAGATATGTGGATCAATCAAGTAAGTTATTTTTCTTTGAGTTTTATTATGAAAATAAAGTATTTTGTGTTGGAATCTTATGTGAAGCATTGCATTATTTGCAGATGAGCATTGGTTTGATAACACAACCTATGGTTATGGCTTTCATGAGTTCTTGTCTCGAAACGACCTTCGACCTCATCATTTGCAAAATGATGGTTTCTATCTCAAAGCTAGAATTGCTGCTATGTCGGTTGTCGAAGATTTTTAGAACGAAATGACATCAACAACCCGTGTCGAGATGTTGTATTAACATACGATAATGTATATATAGTACATAATGTGATACATGTACTCGTGTTTAAGAGTTGGCCAATGATGAACTCTCGACCAAAACAAATATTTATCTTGAAAAAGTATGTAAATCTCGTTAATTCAAGTATAACTCAGACAAAGAAATGATGATTTACAAACGAAAAGATCGAGTCAAGTAGATAAAACTTACTCGAACAATCGTCCTATGTAAGAGAAAAAACCCACCGCTAGCAGATATTGTTCTCTTTGGGCTTTCTCTCGAGGTTACGTCTACTGGGAAGAGATTTTTATAAGGAATGTTTCGTTCTCTTCTCCAACTAATGTGGGATCTTACACTCTACTGTTAACGAAGGCTAGAATTAGAATATCTCGAGAATGGTTAAGCTGAAAAGGGTTCAATGAAAAGAAATAGGAAAACGTAGGTGCTTGTTCGGTTCGTATAGGCTTATCGTGGCATGGTAACTCGTTAGCCCTCGAAATAACGCTCGAGCTACGGTCACTTTTTTTACTCGGTAAAGCGGCTTCGTTCCTATCGAGATGGTTGATTATAAGGAATATAAATATCCTTATTGGATTAACATAGCAATATCGTAACAATCCAATCAAACCCCTAATTCCAAAGAAAGGATATGTTTTGAGGTGTCCCCAAACAAGGCACTTGCGTTACATGCAAACCATGCACAAGGACCTTCTCGACACGTGCCAAAGAGGTCTTGAACACGTGCTACTTCGCCACCCTTGAATTCTCTCTATATATTACACCACTTTCTCTCGCAAATGTCTCAAGGATTTGATGTTTTTCGTTTTTGGGTGTTAAATTTGAAGGGTTTTGGTGTTTTAATTCTCTGCTCCGATGGCCGAAATTCAGTCCCACCAACCGGGGCAGCACGGTTCTCAGCCGCGCTACCAGGTGGTCAAGGCCGCCACCGCTGCCACTGCCGGGGGCTCCCTGCTTGTCCTCTCCGGCCTGATCCTCGCTGGGACTGTCATTGCTCTAACCATTGCAACGCCGTTGCTCGTCATTTTCAGCCCGGTTCTTGTCCCGGCTGTGATCACCGTGTCGCTTCTCGTTCTGGGCTTCTTGGCCTCCGGTGGGTTCGGGGTCGCTGGCATTACGGTCTTTTCCTGGATCTACAGGTAACTTAGAATTATCATAGTTATTAATATTGTGAGATTTTACGTCAGTTGAGGAAGAGTAGCCGAGATGTGGAAACCTCTCCTTAGCATATGTGTCCTTAAAAACACTAAGGGTAAACTCGAAACAAAAAGCCCAAAGAGAACATCCGCTAGCGGTGGGCTCCTCTCCCTAGTAGACCGTGGTAAAAAAATCTTGAGGATAAGCCAAAAGCTCAAGGAGGATAATATCGCCTCGCAGTGGGCTTGGGCCATTACAAACGGTATCAGAGCCAGACTGTGCTATGTGCCAGCTTCGGGGTTGAGCCCGAAGGGGGTGGACATGAGGCGATGTGCCAGCAAGGATATTGAGCCTTGACGGGGTGGGGGTGTGGTGGGGATCCAAGAGTGTCAGCAAGGACCCCAAGACCCAGCCCCAACCCAAAGGGGGTGGATGGTGAGATTTCACATCGGTTGGAGAACACTTTTTAAGATGTGGGAGGGAGAGACTCGTTTTAAAAATTCTCGAGGGTAACTCTGTTTTAAAAAAATCTTGAGGGTAAGTCCGAAAGGGAAAGGGCAAAGAGACCGTATCAGCTAGCTAGTTGGCAAGTTGTTGTGGGCTTGGGGTTACAAATATTTTAATTTGTAGATATGGGATAATAAGCATGATTATTGAAATGTTGTATAGTTTTTTAGCCACATTATTGGTGTAGTAACTTTGGGACACACAGGTACGTGACAGGAAAACACCCACCAGGAGCGGACCAAATAGATCTAGCCCGACACAAGCTGGCGACCAAAGCTCGAGAGATGAAGGATCGAGCCGAGCAATTCGGACAGCAACAGACCTCTGGCCCGCAGACATCTTAAGTACAGCGCGCCCTTGTACCTGAAACAAACAAACATGTTCGCCAATTTTAATTTAATGGCTCTGTGTTGTGTTCCCTCTTTGTTGTGTGTGCCCTTTTCGTGTCTCTGTTCTTTGTTCATGTCAGTATAAAGCTTTCAACTTCCTCCTAAACTCCCCCTCTTTTGATGCTTCTTCGTTTCTTTCTTGGACGAACAAAGAGAGAATCCATCCAATTTGAGTATTATTGAGAGCGGAATAGTTTCAATTAGCTAATTAAGAGCCTAAGGATAATAGTTTCAATTAGCTAATTAAGAGCCTAAGGAACACGCTACGGAAAGAAAGGTGGACAATATCCTCCTATGGTAACGAAAGAACTTAATAGGTGGATAATACTAAGGGGACAATATCATAGTATTGTAAAGATTCATGGTTTTACGGTCAATACTAGGTGGATAATACTAGGTGGATAATACTAGGTGGATAATACTAGGTGGATAATATCATATATCATACTAGGTGGATAATACTAGGTGGATAATATCATATATCATACTATGGTAAAGATTCATGATAATATCATATATCATACTATGGTAAAGATTCATGATTTTGACGGTCAAAGATATTTCGATTCGAAGGAGGTCGGATTGAGATATGGTCGGATTGAGATATGGAGGTGTCTTGGGTGGGAGATACCATAAAAGTAGTTCCTGAGTTTGGTAGTTGGAGGTATCAGATCCTTGTCGGAGACCTTTAGAATTCGACTAAAATTTGAGTTCTAAACCAAGCATTGGGAGCTCGAGCTCGAGCTCGGTGTCGGTTTCATTGACCACGCCCGAGGGCGTCGTGAACTGCCAATTGTTGCCTCCGGGGTAGCATTGAGAGCTCGTGCTCGGTGTCGGTCTCATCGACCAAAGGCAATTGTCGGCTCTGGCTCTGGCTCCGGAATCGTATGGATCTTAATAAATGGAAAGTACATTAAAAATTTGGACTAATTTAAAATCTATTTTTATGGAAATAACTTGAGGGAGTCCAAAAATACAATGAGAAGTTTTGTAATTTATAGTAGCTTGAAAAAAAGATCCAAAAAACTTGTATTAAAAATTATATTTTATTTCTAATTTTTTAATAAGAAGATTATTTTTTATTCTCCAAAATATAATACCCAAACTCAAATATTTTATTATAAAATTGACATCTAATTTCTTTTGGTAAAAATAAAATCATTCACATTTAAAATAATAAAAAATAGTAATATGTAAACAAATATTCATATTATTATTTTTTTCTTTTTTTAAGAAAAGCACTAAAATAATTTTTTAAACCGAAACATAGGCGCGGTTAAAATTCCGAACGAAAAATAATACTCAAACCCGAATTATCGAGCTGGAAATTAAAAACTATTTTTAAATAATTAGCGAACCTGAGTAATAGGAGTAATGACGAACAACCCATCAGTCGGGGAGCCTTTGAAGGACCTCGAATCCTTGGAAGCAATGGCGGCATATGTGCGGCCCGCACCGCAGCCACCCACTCTCGACCACCAACGGCGCCGTCGAAACGCCAGCCAGAACTGCTCCGCACATGGGTGGGAGACTGCCCCCAATGTGGCGGCTCGGGTCGCATCAGGTTGAAACATATTTTATCCCTACAGTTCGCCAGTATTTTCATCTAGTTCTTCATCTATATCTCTGTTTAATCTCCATCGATAACAAAAGATGATGATAATTTTTAAAAAAATGTTCAACATGCCAAAGAAGAATTGCTTTTTCATAATACAATTCATCCGTCATGAAATCCACGATGAGAGTATGGTTTATTCAAGCAAAATTACAAGACCGAACGAAACCAACCGAATCCAACCATAACCATTCTTCACGAAGTACCTATAGTTTTAAGTTTTGTGAAACCGAGCAATCGATGTTTATATCAGTTGGTCAACCGGGCCGAATCAAGCCAAGCCAGTAGGATCAGTTTGGTTAATTTTTTCGAGTTCGGTTGGTATCATCTCCCTAACATAAAAGGCAACTCTTCCATATAAACAACAATGGGATTTCTTAGATTTGTTCCATGATAGGTTACAGGTGGTGAATCTCAAGCTTTACCAAGACAGACAAATGCACCCAAACTTGTGTATTTCAATTCCTTTCTTTGGGAGTTCCCAAATCAAAATTCTACAGTACTTCAACATTATATCAAAGAGAAACAATTATAGATAAAGGGGGGGAAGCAGTCAATGTAGAGTACTTATAAGATAAATGCAGTGAACAAATTAGAGAAATCTTTTACCTCCGCCGCCAAAAATCTTGACTTTCAGAATGGAAACGAATAAATTTGATTCCTCTCAGCTTTTAGAATCGGAAGCTTCACTATGTATTCTTTCAAGAATAATGTTACAACTGTTCATGGAGTTTGCATCAAGTAGACCATGGTTCCACAACTTAATCATAAACAATCTCCAGCACCTGCCAGGCCCAAAAAAGTATGTTCAAACATAAACACATACGACCAGACGTATTCGGGTTTGTCTGTATGGAATCTACGTGAAAACAGGATTTGAAGAATTCAAATTATTCCATTTCATACAATAGAGAATATGTTATGGCATTCACATGATTTGTTGTTATAATTTAGTTTGATTTTAACTGAGACTTTCATGCTAGCTAATGTAAAAATACAATCTACTACATTCTCCTGACAGGAAAAAAAAAGGCAGTTCTATAACATCTCCAGATACATTAACTTTTTGTAATTGGTATTCATGATCTTGCAGGATTTTTGTAATAAAAAACGAAAAAGAAGACGAAGAGCATGTGCTTCACAACAACATTAAGAGAAGAGAAACTACCATAGAAGAGCTGGAGTTTTGACAAGGTTTGGTCCATGTAATTGTGAAAACGCCTCACAAGCCCAGGGGATATGGCCATCTGCAAGTACCCTAAGAACAGATAACAACATTGTCTTCAGATAACAATGTTAGAATATTAGCCATCAATCAATGGTATTCATCCACCATCATTCCTATGGATACGAACAAAAACATGCAGAACTATGTTGCGTGTCGGTCTTCTTTCAGAATTTAATGTGGATTTGGACCTTTTTTTTTTTTTTAAATGTAAAAACATGCTAGCAGTACAAGCCAAGAAAAGTGTTTGTTAGTTACCGTTGCTTCCTGACAAATGAATTCCACATATGCATCATTTGCTTCTCGTCCTTGGTTACATCAACAAAATCATCGAGCATCTACATCGATGTAAAATCCATTAGCGTTTGTCACATGCCAATGACTAGGATATGGAATCAAAAACCTTTCTAGCCTCTAGACAGAATGAGGAAGAAAGCAAAGGTAGGAATTTGTGAAAATCATATCAGATTTAACTTCCAATATCAAGCCAGACACAACAAATGATCCTACCAACGGACCTGAAAACAAGAACTCAAGGAACTAAATAAGATCACATTGTCAACCTTGCACGTGTGATGTCCCACATTGGTTGGGGAGGAGAACAAATCACCATTTATAAGGGTGTGGAAACCTTTCCCTAGCAGACGCGTTTTAAAGCCTTGAGGGAAAGCCCGAAAGGGAAAGCCCAAAGAGGACAATATCTGCTAGCGGTGGATCTAGGTCGTTACAACCTGCCCTCACCCACCCTCTGCAATGCCCTCCCTATCGTATGGACAACTATTCTCGAGTTTATTTTAACATGTCCACTGAACCTTGAGTACCCAGATGAAGAAACATAAAAATGCTGCATAAAGGACATCCCATATAAACTCTTAAAGAACCCCAGGCAATGTATGGCACTTGTATCATTCCACCCACAACATGCGTAATTGGACGCTGATGATAACACAAATGAGGTCACTACCATCGATCAAAACAAAACTAGAAGAAGACTAATGGAGATGATCACATCATTTCAAGGCTACAAGCCCCTATTAGCTATCAGGTGTTATCAAAACTTCAAACCTTACCCTCCTATCCTCAAGATCTGCAACATCATCATCCACTTCATCTTCACTATCTCGATCGGATAACACTTGTTCCAATGCCATCGGCTTCAAGTACAACATTAAAGATCAAAAAATAAAAAAATAAAAAAATAAACGAACAAAAGTCAGATGTATCAATAATATAACCATAAAAAGGATATAAAAGAAAGAAAAATTCAGAACGACTATAGCAACACATTTCTTCTATGGATGAGGTGCCAAGTCCTTATAGTAACTGCCTCGGCATGAATGCCATCTGACACATGACATACTTAAGATTGAAAGTTTACCTAACTGTTGCGAGCCCAAATTTACCGAACTAAACCGTCCAGATAGTATGTAGTTCTAGATCAAAATTATAAGATTTTGCAGTTATAACAATCAAGAGAACTGGTTGTCTAATGTCTAAAATCTGAATTATGACATGCAGTAGTTAAAGTAAATAACAAAGAGTACACAATTTTTTCGTGCTTTTAGGGGCCTTGAATATTAAAGGAAGTTATTTGAGAGGGACAATGGACCTCAATGTACGGACAATGATATGATATTATTCATTTTAGATGCTACCTACAGTGATTTTGCTTTTGGCTTCATCTAGAAGGCTTCATAATAATGAAAATATTCTCTCATTTATACACATGAGATTCCTCTTATCTAACTAATGTGGGACTTATGATCTCACTCCCAACAATACTTCCCTTGAAGAAAGCCCACCAAACCCCCTCAAATAATCATCCATCTGTCTAGCTTTTATCCAAGATAAGTCTATAGTTCTGAAAAAGTAAAGAAATGGGGATTCTTTAAATATATAGGATTTTGTGAAACATACAGCCTAATTCCTACTTAATTTTTCTTTTTCCTTCTTTTTAGGCAATATCTATTATCAGAAAAACAAAAAATAACAACTTATAAAAAATACAAAATAACTTCATTGCTTATATAACAAATAACTGCACAAGTCTATTATGCACCATGAAAATTTTACCAATAGAAAATAAGATAACATAGGAACTCACCTGAGCTCTATGGGAATGAAAGAATTGTCTCTTCCTCAAGAGGTTACAGCTAAAAGACAGTGGAAACGGAGATAAAAGTCAGGTTAAAGTTCAAATCTTCTAGCTACAGAAAAACATCCGTACGAAAGAAGCCAATTAAACAAGTAGTTACAATAAACAGAAATTCAATAAATTCTGATCATCCAAAACTTCAAGGGATGACAATACTCTCAGTGGAAATAGAAAATTGATGTCAGAGATGAGTGATTTGACAATAATAACGTAAACGTCAAGCCAAAAGCAATCTAAGATAAGATAAGTAAATTTCAAGCCATCTTAAAAGTCTAAGCTCAGTTTAACCTCACCAAGACCTCCTCGTTGAATCCAAGTCATTCAACGTAAAAGAGAGGTTAATCAAGACTTCAACTTAAGTGCAACATCTGAAGTGACTAGTTGTCTTTAATGCTTTCATCACAATAGAAACCCAACATGATTCAAAATGAATCTTAGAAGGATTTGCATAAAGACAAAATATCTGCAGTGATGGAAAGAGACATGTAAAACATACTGTCTTGGGTCTGCACGTTCGATCGACAATTTTCTTGTCTTGGCAAATTGAAGCATAGTTGGCGCAACATTGTGCCCTGATATTGATTGAAACAGTCAGGATCATTGAATGAATGCAGAGTGTACTTAAAATACCTGCAATATCAATACTATATGTAACATAATCTAGAAACTTTAAAACAATGATGCTAACATTCAGTGGAGACATTCTCACCTAATATTAGAGCTTTTTCACCTTGGCTAGATTGAGCATCTGAAACAAGAAGGTGGTTGCTCAATAATGATATCTGTACAAGAAGGAATATATAAAATCAAGTGCGAGAGACGGCCAAGCAAAAAACTCACTCCAAATCCCTTTTTCAATAATATTGACATCTAAGCAACACAATAATATTTCTTACTTGACAAATAATTGTCAACAGGGTATTATTTGGAAACGGATCTCAAAGAAAGTTTCAAACAATGATGAGTAATCATTTTATGAGGAGACACTTGGGGTGGCAGGATTAAAAGAGCAAAGGGGCCTAACCAACTAATGGGAAGTAAAGAGGATTATGTACTTCATCATAGAAAGTCTCTTCTCTTGTTCATAATGGTGTGATCCCAACAAAAATCTACCATATCAAAGTTCGAAGGGTTCGAGGGAGGAAGTTGGCAAAGTCATATACAAGCCGAATGGTTTATAAAAATCAACCTCAATTGGTACTAATCATGCTCAATCCAAATTTGCAAAAATGACTACAATAGCTCCTAAAAATAACAAGCCCACACTCTATCCAAAAATAGGTAGTACCAAGAATATACACACACACACACATCATGAAGAAGAACAAAGAATGAACAAGCACATACCATCCGCCTTGTCCGAATATTCAGACTCTACAACAAAAGGATGTATGTGCTTTCCACTTTGAACTACGTTCTTAACTTTTTTGCGTCTGAGATGCCTAGAGCTGAAAAAGTATAGTAAAGGATAGAAGTTTCCCATTAACATCAAGGAGTTAAGAAGCATAACTAAGAATGAAATCTGAAATTTCTGAGTGCACGACTTACCGGAAGAAGAATGTCTGCTGCTTCGGATCAATGCCATCTGCGACGATCTGATAGAAAACCAACTTATGTCATTGTCACGACAAGACCCAAATAACTAGAGCTTGTCTAAATACACAAGCACCTTTTTCACTGAGTAGATTATTTTTTATCCTGAAACAGTGCCCATGTATAAAACAGTAGAATACAACAGGTGTATTTACCATTATATCCAGTTAATGTACCATTTTTTTTAAATGAGGAAACAGACTTTTCAATGGTGAGAATCAGTTGATGTACCAGCCACTAAAAGATGGGAGTTTTTACTTGAGACAACAGACACATTCTTGCACCATATGATAGAACTTCCCAAACTATCTCAAAACAAGGATAATAAATATAGACTTCCCAATAAAGTATATGAAGAAGCAGAGAAAATCCTGGAAGAATTAACGTTTATTATATTAAAGAATTGAGATATCATGGTAGTAACAGAAGTACCATAAAAATCCATGTGAAAATGTTCCTACCTCAGACCGCCAAACATCAGCCTTCGTGGAAACATTTACAGCTTGATACTCCTCAGTTACCTACCAAAACTCAGATCAAATCAATGATTACTCAACCACAGATAGATAATTAAGAAAACAATTTGAACCTCAGAAAAAAATACTGACCCAAAATTCAAAGTTGAAGAGATCATGTAATGATAACAAGTGACATCTCAAGCCCTGTACAAGAAATAGAATATGTTTTAAAATCTTTTACAGCTACTAACATAGTTCCTCACATTCAGAGCAAGAAATGAATCGAGGAAAATTACCTTAAAGCTGGCACATTTAATCAAGCAAAATGGACAGGAGAAGTCTTCAGTTACTGCAAGTAAGAACTCAACATGAATACATCAGTAAGTCAAAGCGTGCAGCATAAACAGAGGATAAAAAGAAATCAAGCGGTGACAGGAAGGAAAGAAATTATTTCCTAACAAGGAAGGGAAGGAAGAGTATTTATTTTCATGGGAAATAGCATAAAATTTTAAAGGTGAACATGAAAAGGACATAATGACATATTTGAATGGGCTAAAATTTCTTCAAAGAAGAAACGTAAGTCTTGTATTAATGGAAGGAAATCACAAAAAGAAGTTGAACAATATCAAGTCGACACGATGAGTGATAAAAGAAAGTTCTTAGAGAATATAAACCCCATCTCACCCCGCCCAGAAAAGAACACAACACTCAATGCAACTGAAAAATTAAACAAAGATTTCCATCTTGATTAGGCCAACCCACTAAAAACCTGATAATTGAAAGAAAAAAAAAGAGACGATTGGAAGCAGGAGAAAAACAACACCTTCAGTTTTTTGCAATCTATTGTTGTAGTACCTATAATTGAAAATAACATTTCCTGCCCTCAACCTGCGACATATAGAACAAGAGAATAATGTAACGCATACATTCTTCCTTAAACATATAACCATTTTAAATTATGCTTTGATCAGGAGCAAATAAATGATTTTTTTTACAAATAAATGTAATCATACGTTCTTCCATAAACATATAGCCATTTTGAATTTTGCTTTGATCAGAAGCAAATAAATTGTTTTTTATATATAGAAATACAGTAACTACAAATTTTGTCAAGCGACTTGACTATTATGATAGCATCTATGATTTAATTGATTTCCGGAGACAGATTATTATAGAGGTCAGTAGATTCAACTCTCAACTAAATCCATAGGTAAATTCCTTAGATGTTGCAGAGGATCCTACAGTATGCAGAAAAGTAGCAACAAAGGAACAAATGAACTTGGAAGAAACTTTTCAGCATTCCCAATAAAACTTTTAGTTCGTTTATGGGTAATGTTTTACTCCCAGTTAAACTTTTAGTTTGTTTAGGAGTTTGTATTAGGCATCTTTGGTATTTTGAAATCCTAATTTGATTAGCCTCCCTGAACCTGATTGGAATTCTAAATCTGAGTTTAAGTCCAATGGGGTTACCAGATGACTTTGATTTATTTGTCTTATATACAACTGCTGTAAATACTTTTCATCAATTCTTTTTTTTTTTTTTTTTTTTTTTTTTTTT